TTCTGAACTTTGTTCCATTTTTGAAAGAAAATGTTTCTCTTATTCTCTAATTACCAAATCCGGTCCGGATTGTTAGGGAAAGAACCTAGTGTTGATATTATCAGTGAACTGTAATTTTTGATTTTCTTTCCTCAACCTTTAAGACATTGTGATTTAAATAATATCAACAAAAATTTCTGTGAAAAACCGAAACCGGAACGAAACCGAAACCCAAACCGAAATAAATTTTGAAGAACGAAACCAAAACCGAAACCGAAACCCAAACCGGAACGTTATTTTGAATCGGTTTCATTCCTTGTACTAAACAACTACACAGCAACGGGTAGGACTACATCCGCCCACAACATATCGCCCATAGAAATGGTAGACGATGGTGTCGTTATAATTAACAATCGCTACGCGGAAATACAACAAGAAGACAAATCAATGATCACCGTCAATGGCACATACCTAATTACATTCAAAAGCAAAGTGACCATTAACGACAGTAGTTACATCAACCACAAGAATGAGTACCAACTGACTCCGGAGGCTCCCATGGCACAAGATATTAAGTTTACCGAGCACATTGCAACGCTGTTGTTACCATATCTAGACGAAGTCAACATACGGAATTTAAGACATATCGCAACACTAAGGTACAAAATTAATATAAACCCAATCATAATGTTTAGTTCCCTTAGTGGATTGATTATCTCAGCGGTCATAGCGCTGACTATATTTCGCTGGAGGAAGAATCGGCAGAAACGCATTATTATAAATTTGATAGAGAATAATATTACCAAGGCCCCAGGACAGAACGATGGCGCGCCCGCGGACGGCCGATTTTAGAAGGGGGAGAGTTAACACCAGCGAGAGGTTGATACCCTTCCATAAAGTGCTGACACCCCGCTGATCAACACGCGCATCCGCTTGCCATTTCGTCACAACAAAATCAACAGTAAGCAATTGACTTCTCAGCGAATTGACTTCTCAACAAATTGGCTCTTGATCAACGAAAAGTTACTTCCACTGAAAAGGTGCTGACGCTCGCTAGTCTGCACGCATCCGCTTTGTCAGTTCGGTGCAGCGCAAACAGTAGCATAACGACCAACACGAGCCATTTCCCACCAAAAGCGCTGACACCCCATTACGGCTTCAGTTTGGCAACGGGCAACAACAACAATCAACGGACAGCTATTAGTTAGAATTAATATTTTAATAATAAGTTGTGCCCTGGTATTTGGCCTTTTTATGTGCGCCCTTGTAGTGAACGGCTGGCCTACATAGTAGGGAAATAAATAATAAATTAAAATCGAGTGTCTCGTGTTTTACTTACATACATACATATGTAGATTTTGATATTATATTTTCCAATATTTCATCTCTATGTATATAAAACTTAGCTGCATACGTATGACCGCCCATAACTCGAGAACGCATTGTCCGATTTAAGAAGACTTTTTTTAGTTGTGTCTGTCTTTGCCCAAGGAAAAATGTTACGCAGAGAAAGCCCCGATAGGTGGCGCTAGAATCCAGTTATTACTAAAAATCGTATTTATAGTCCGATCTCGGTCATATTCTATATATCTCTGCGAAAAATTTATCAGCTAGGGAGCGCTGGAGTCGAGTTCCCTGAACTAACTAATATATATTTTGAAAGCCGTAAGTTTCTTTACGTGAATTGTGGGTGAAAATGTTGGACCAAAATGTTTCAATAAAAAAATTAATTTTGGGTGGGACGAAATTCTGCGGGTCTGCTAGTATACAATAAATATGTACATATATATGACACGAACATTTACCACAATCGTCCACCTGGTACGGTGACCAAGAAAGAATGACTGAATAATAAATGAAAAATTATCCGTTATTCGGTATTACTTGTATCATCAATTCGTCATTCAAAATTACTTGAATGAAGAATTCAAATTTCTTCTTCATCCGAAATTATGAATAAAAATTTAATCGTTATTTGAAATTTCTTAATGTTGAATGGAAATTTATTCGTCGTTCTAAATTAGTTAAATAAAGAATAAAAATATATTTTTCAGTCGAAATTACTTGAATAATGAATAAAAATCTATTCGTCCATTCAAAACTAGAACAATTATGAATAACATATTATTTTTTATTTGAATAATAACACAAGGGAACAGTGATTTGGTTGCATCAAATGTTAAAGCTGTTTTAATAGACTTTTTTATGCTGATTATGAATCCGTAAGTATAAAGTCTCCATCAGCTCTAGATTTGGAGAAAAACGAGGTCAAGGTGTCAAAATATCGCGTTTTTTGCAATATTTTAGAAGGTCTAGCAAAAAAGCAAAAGGTGATTGAACCTCACTCCACTTAGGCTTAAAATAAAGCTACAGCTCTCGGCTACCATCCCTGAAAATACCATCGCGGCACCTTGGCGTGATGGTCACTTATCGTCATTTATTGAACAATTGCAAAATACTGGTGTATTGTGCTATGGTAAGAAAAAAAATTGTGCCAAAATGAGTTTTTGCTGTTCAATAAATGACTATAAGTGACCTTAGGGTCATGGTATTTTCAGGAACTGTAGTCGAAAGTTCAAGCCTTAATTTAAGCCTTAGTATAGGGCTCTATCACCTTTTGTTTAATTTCGGTGGGTACTCAAACTTCGCACAAAATCAAGTTTTGCTGTTCAATAAATGACTATAAGTGACCATCAAGTCAAGGTGCAGGGATGGTATTTTCAGGGATAGTAGTCGAGACTTCTACCTTTAATTTAAGCCTGATATCACCTTTTGTTTCTCTGCTAGAGCTTCTAATATATTGCAGAAAACGCGATTTTTTGACACTTTTACCTTGTTTTTCTCCAAATCTAGAGCTGATGGAGACTTTATACTTAGGGATTCGTAATCAGCATAAAAAGTCTATCAAAAACAGCTTTAACATTTGATGCAAAAAAATTGTTCCCCATTTTTATTCCCTTGTGTAATTTTAAAAACCCCCATCCCCGACTTGTGTAAATAAAATGAAATTTGAACTGAGTTGAGTGTTCTTTTGGTAGTTGGTAAAGAATGAAACGAAACTATTTTCTTATTGCCAAGTATACAACAAACCTTTCCAATGACTGGTAAGTCAATGCTACCCCAAGTGTCTGCAGCCCAATGTACTAGACCAGATCCAAAATCGGCAGTTATAATACCACACAATGCCGATACACATGCCACACTCAGTCTTTCAAAATGTATATGCTTCAGGATCAATAAGAGGTCTATTATCATAAGCGCAATACATGTATAAACGCAAATTATCTCCTGAAAGCGTTTACCTACAGAAAGAGAGCAAAGAAGAAAAATATATTTAAACATTTTGGAAATTACTACACGATAAATGAGGATGTGTTATTTTATTTAGTACCTGGCCCATACAAATTTGCAAGCTCTTGAGCACCCTTGTGTTGCGGCCCCCAACGTGGGGACTTATCTTCTGTGGTGAATGACTGTTCAAGCGCAGAATTGCCATTTGGATCCTCCTCAAGCATTGAATTCTCCATAATTTCTCGATCACTTTTTAATCGCATCTACAAAACAGTAAAATATAAAGCTTTCAGCAATTTTTCTTATTATTGCTTTAAAAGAGAAATAAAAAACTTAAATATGATCAAAGGTCTACAGATGCAATCAAACAGCATTAAGTTCGGTTGATGGGAAATCGTTGAAGATTTTATCAATTCGATTTCTAATATACAATCTAACAACAACGCTAAAGCTGCTGATAATAAAATTGTAACAAGGTCCAAGGCCAAGGCCAATGAACCTAGCATTGCTCGCAAAACTACTAATTCGTCAGCCACAAACAAATCTAAAGACTCTCTAAAGGTGTTCTTACACGATATGTATTTGCATGTGTACATGCCATTTTTACATATGGAAATGCCAACACATCGTGTAAAGGCAAATTTGATTTGTTTCTGTACAAAGCAGAATGTACGTACATACATACGAAATAGAAATGTTTCTATTTTCATCTGATACACAGACAGACTCATCTGGGTTTAGTTTATTTCATTTTCAAAGAAGGTATTTTTAAATAGTTAAATAAAGACTTAGTCTGTTCCAATAGCAGTCCGGCTTACAGGATTTAGTCAGAGCTTACAGGAAGTCGTTCCTATTGACATAAAACCTGTAAGTGGGAACACTTTTGAGAGAGTAACTGAGCAACTGTTCCTAGTCAGAAGTTACAGGATTTAGTCCGGAGTTTTTTTTCCTGTAAGTTCATGAAAACTGTCAAACGATCAGCTGATTTGCATGTGAAAACAAAAACAGAAAGCGGTGAAAGCAAAAAACCTTGTATTTGTAAAAAAAAAATTAAGTAAACAACGAAATATTTGAATATGTATAGATTTTAATAATCAGTTAGTCATATTTCAGCCAAATCAGTGTTGTACCAATGACATGTAAACAAACCAACTGACGGTTTTTCAGGAAATAGTGCTTTTTGCGTTCCCGTGCCCTTCTGCATCTGTTCTCCTTTTACTCTCACTTGAGAGAGTAAAATTGTAGTTTGACAGTTCCACAGGTTTTAGTCCGAAGTTCAAAGGAACAGACTAACTGTGAATTTGACAGAGATACGCAATTACATATGTATTGAACAAGTAACATTTACAGATGCAAATACATATCGTGAAGGAACGCCTTAAGTAACTCTCCCTGTCAACAGAGATCGACCATTCTGATCACCGACACTGCAATTGTTGCTGATGCAGCTGCGGTGGCTTCTGATCAGTGTTACCACTATTGGTTTTTTCCGACCAAATTTGGTCGCTTCTTTTTCATTTGGTAGGTTGTTAGGCAACAAAAATGATAGAATAAAAGATTGCGCCGATTTCAGCAGAATTCGTGAGAGTAATTTTGGTGTGACGTCACCGTAGAGTTGACAACTGAGAGCGGCAAATAAATAAAAAATATTTCATATCATACGTCAACAAAACCGATACCGATTCGAAAATTGTCGCTAACTGGGTACAGAATCTGTCGCTAACTGGTTACAGAATCTGCCTACAAAAATGATATTGTCCGATTCAGCTGGAACAAAAATGCTTCAAACAAGTAAGTGTATTATGGCCTCGAACCGACATATATACATCTTTCATTCGAACCTTAAATGTTTCGGTACCGAGTATCGAGAGTATTGGATACTTAAAAGTATTGACTCAGCACATCACTACCGCTGTCATCTCGACTGTGACGTCAGCAAAACAGCTGATTCTGTCAAATTCACGGCGCCACCTTCTGTATTCTCTCCACCGTGGATCAAATCGTTGCTACGTTCATGTGCATGTTTTCGCCCTTTTTTCGGGATTTTATGACTAAAAAGGGCGAATGGGATTTTCTGTCGGAAAACGGGATTTTTTGCATACCATACCAAGCAAGAAAATTTAGTAAATCATAAATAAGAAAAAGCTGCTCTCTGTGGTAAATTAACGCCATTCACTGTAAATGAATTGTAATAGCAAGTTTATGACTTATACAAAAAGTAATTGGGAAAAATAAAGTGAGTCAAGTTAGAAAAACGTGTTGTTTTTATTCAAATGTTTTGAGTTTATAGATTCTGAAAAGTATTTTGAGTGATTGTATTCTTTGATAAAGCAAAAAGTAAAATTTGCGATTGGCAAACGTTTGGGAGGTAGTCGTTGACAAAGAAGCAGTAAATAGTTCAATGGTTACTGACGTCAAAACGAAAAAGAGAAATAGATTAATATTAGGTTCTCATTGAGCCATTAACTCGAGTTTAACGTTTTGAGTTTATGAACTACTGTCGAGCGTTCACATTGGGGTGTTTAAGAAGCTCAGAGTTTAATTTGACATTTTTTTGTTTACCTTTTCTTATTCCCATTTAGTCTGTTCCCATTACTACAGGATTTAACACACACATAAGTCTAGAATACCAACCGTTTAGCCTTTTATGCGACGTATATTGTACTATAACCAGTTTTAAAACTAATTTTATATAAACGCCATTTAAAAAAATATATTTTTATTTTATTTTGTGTTTTAGTATATCCGGACTAAAAATATAAAAAAAGCATATAAATTATATACATACATGAAAGAAAAATTAATTACTTTTATTTTGACGTCGTTAATAGGTTATGTTGTTCAGAAGATATTAATATTTAAATAAATCAGAAAATTTAACTTTAACCATTGATCTCTTCTTTATATTTTACTTTCACCAGATAATTTTGGTAGGGTTGAAATCAGCACAAAAAGTTCTATCTAGCCACAGTTTGTGTTTTTGCATCGCTAGATTCTTGATATTCTGGACTTCTGTGCACGGAACGACCTCGGACTATTTTTGATAAAATCCTGCAGTACGGGAACAGACTAACTGTCGGTAGGTTGGTTGTAGGTTTGGATTATCAAAGACACAAACCGAATCGGGTCAAAAAGGGGTTGCATTCGCATAAACTCCAAAAAAGTGGTGTTTAAGGAGAGTCTAACGATATTTTTTGTATGGTAAACTCCGAGTTTTAGAGTAGAGTTAAGCGTTAAACTCCAAAATGGCCCATAAACTCGAGTTAATGGCTTAATGAGAACGCTTTATAAGGAGAGTTTAACGAAATTTTTTGTATGGTAAACTCCAAGCTTAAGAGTAGAGTTAAGCGTTAAACTCCAAAACGGCCCATAAACTCGAGTTAATGGCTCAATGAGAACGCTTTATAAGCGAAAAAGCATTAAATATGCTCGTTAGTTTGCTCTGAGCTTGCAGAACTCACGAGCAGTGTTGCCAGGTCTTCGGCATGAGAAAACGTCCCTCTTGGTCTGAAAAAACGCATTTCTGCATCAAAACGAAAATAAAAAAAAATGTCACTTACGTTATTTTGGCGGTTAGGGCTAGATATAATTAAAATGTCATTTCGACAGAGTACATTTAAAATTCATTGTAAACTGGTCGTTAATATAAAAATCATTTTATACATACACTTGTGATCAGCTGATTAAGTCATCAATATTTTGATTGATTTTGGCTACTTCTCTTTCGTTTATTTAACGATTATTATTTTTCCATAAAAGCCAAGCTCATTAACTAACAAAATATAAATCCACAAAAATTGTGAAAAAATTATAAACAATCTGCAAATTTTCAGCAGATTTTCAACTTTTTATTCAGAGCTTTTAGATTTTTTTTTGAGTAGGCAGTTTGATAGCCCATTAAGTTTCAGGGCAGTAATGTGCAAGTTTAAAGGGGCTAAACAATCGCGTTGATTTTTAATAATTTTTTTTTCTTGTAGGCATTTGGTTAGGGGCTCGGTTGTCGAAAATGCTAAATTACGTTCTTCTAAGAAGGAGCATAGCAATAGGTCTATTCAATATCAAACAATTGTTACGAATTGTTGCTAGTACTTGCAAGTTTTTACTGGGAATGCATTCAATAACCAAAAATAGTGGCAAGAGGGGGCGAATTCCAGAGCGTAACAACCCGAGAAAGCTGCAAATTCTTGCAAGTAAAAATCTTACTTACTGTTCTTCTAAGAAGGAGCATAGCAAAAGGTCCATTCAATATCAAACAATTGTTACGAATTGTTGCTAGTACTTGCAAGTTTTTACTAGGAATGCATTCAATAACCCAAAATATTGGCAAGAGGGGGATCCAATTGGATACATTTTTAGACGAATTTTTGCGGGATACTTATTTTTTCCGATCAGTATAAATATGGATACCTTTTTAAATAGGCCAAAATTTTATATATTCTATAAAGATTTTTTCGTTCAAAAATCTACTTTCATTAAAGATGATAGAAAGCATTACGTTTTTTAAATGTATTAAAAATCGCTACTTAATCGCAATATAACGCAAACGTCAAGCTGTGAAGTTCTACTTATTTGTGCCTTGATTGGTCTTTGTATTTTGCAAAGTTTATTGTGCTAATTTTGAGTAAAAGTTGCTATAAAAAGTGCCTACGAGCATCTTAGTGTGATAATAACAGAAGCTAAGTGAAAGTTTTGTGATTTTTGTGGTTTTTATTAAATTTAATTAAATTTCACTAGCTTACATCTAATCTTGCCGAGTCATTTGTTGTTATCATTGTTGTTGTTATTCCTTTGTAGTTAACTGAGATCGTTTCTATTTTTGCACATTTCTTTTTG